GGCAGAGGCAAGCCGCTCCCGAGAGAAGTCTTGAATGCATATTTTAAATTAGGAAAAAAGTAAATTATGTATTTTACGATTTAATCCTGCGTTTGTGACATTCACAGTTTTACAGTTTTTTAGCAATTTCCGAGTTTTCCGAATACTTTAGATTGGTAAAATTGTTACAATATTAATGTCTACCTTTATACGAGTCTGATACATACGACGTTTGTGAATATGAATGGAGCTTACGAAGCGAGCGGTATCATTTATAATAAGCTTTTAACATTAAGCTTTGTTTTCAAACACGTCTACCTATGAATCGTAATGATATTCAAAAATAGTATTTCGTTTCATTCGATAAACTCACCTATTGTACTTTTGTATTGTTGTTGTGTTTGTAATGTTAATGCTTTTGGTGTGCATTAAAGTAAAACTAAATTAATAGTGAAACCAGGCGTCGCTTCTCTTTGATAATCGTTTAATGTATGAAACATATCAAATTCTTTTTTTTTTTCCTACCTATGCTGATAGCCTTGAGAGGCTATATCAGCTTCACCCTAACGAGTGTAGGTGAGCTCACGGGGCTCAAACCGGAGTGTTGCTAACACCCTAGCGAGAGCAGTGCTTCGCAGAATCTACCACCGGATCGGAAACGCGACTCACTGAGAAGATCCGGCGAGAAACTCAGTGGGCTGTGTCTAAGNCGAGCCCTTCGTCGCGAGCGACAGGTTCGACGAGGATGGTAACCGTTAATGGATCGGGAGGATCCGTAGTGACGTGCAAAATTCTTGAGTTCACTCGTTACTTCTCGAAGGCCAATGGTGCCTCGCGAGTGGGTCGCGGTTCCGATCCGGTGTTAGATTCTGCTGTATGAAGCTAGGATAACCTTTCGAGGTACTAGCAATAGGTAGGCAAAAATGTTTGTGGGGCTTATTACATTCTGCGACGCGGTTATGCGTGGAAGTTCTTTCGATTTGACGCAGTATGATTTGAAAGTCCCTCTTATTTTACGGTTTGATTTGTTCCTTGAGTTTAATTCTAATCTCATTGTTAAATATGGCTTACGTATGACCTTACCTTTCCTTCCTTTTTTTCATTTATCGCTGTCGATCTTCAAAATACTCCAACTGTTTTTATCTTCTCTCTTTATCTGTCTTTATCTTCTTTCTCTTCTATCTACCCCTAGTCTCTTTATCTTCTCTTGATTTCAATGTTATGTTCAATATATTGCAGTTGCTTTAATTTATGATATTTTCACTCGGCGTTATTAATTTATTATGCCTTAAACCTTTATTAAGCCATTGTTTAGTTTCAGTTTAATCGCCTTATGTTCCTGTTCTATCTCTAAACTCCGTGGTACATAGTTTTCTGCAGAGCATTATCCTATCTATATGATCCTAAAGCATATTTCACTCTTTCCGTTCATATTGCTACCCATAATAACGTATTCTAGTCGCGAGGCCGAGCAAAACCGGAGGCCCTTTGCCGGTCAAAATAGGGCAGATTTATTTGAGATACATTGACGTTTCAGGTGTATCCAGTAGCAATAAAAGACCTTTGAAGGGTTTGATGTAGAATATAAAGTAAACAGTTGTTTAAAAAAAATTGAACATACCTTCTGATCCATCCAGTATCAAACATCAGCTAAAACTAAGAAGAGAAAATTTGAAAAATATATGAGAATTGTCTAATAATGTTAAAATATCTTGCCTTGTTGAGAAGTTATACATGTTAAGATAGGGATCAACTAACAACCTATTCAGTGCTAAGTGATTACCGTCGCTTATGGGAAACTGCAATGCCAGGAGAATGGTCAAGCCCTGGACACTTTTGCAAACATTGTTTGAAAAAAATAAATTGGATAGCCTTCTGAGAACACATTGAAGGGAGCTCATTTCAGCGCCGGATGGTACGTGCCAAAAGTGATTACTTAATAAGCGATTTATTACTATCGAAAAACGCAGCTTCAAGTGGCTGGGATGAACTCTGCTCCAGTGGTGTGTGGTGCGGTTGTAGAAAGGAGATGATTGGTTCATCTCGACTTTTGCACACAAGCACCTTCGCAGACCTAGAGCTTAGGAGCTGGAGATTGGAGTTATTAACGAAGTCACGAAGCCTTTCCTTCTTCAGTCTGAAGTCAAATGGAAGTTTTCAATTATTAGTGACGTTATATAAGCAGAAGGTGTAGAGGTAGCTATCAGAGAATTGAACATACATTTTTGACAAATGCCGGAATCTCACTAACTAGGTACATTTCTGGATACGTTTGCATAATACAAGTTTCGAACAGTAATATTCGGACCGTCTAGCAAATTCGCATGCCCGGTGACAGACCTACAATTTTAAGCATACTTTTCTTCTTTTAAGTTACTGTAGTATCTAAACTCTGAGAATCATCTTACGAAAATAAAATTCAGCATGAATACAATAAAATTACCGTAGTAATCAATTTGGTCAATATTTGATTGAGTAATGTAAGTGATTCACAGATCAAACTTATTTTTAATTCTGATTCATTGTTAGGTATGTATTCATATGCATCAACATCACAGAACAAGTCGTTTGTTCTGTTTTGAGGTCTTTATGGATGGGATGAACTTTCTTCTTTTTTTTCTTGCCTTTATCCCACATATGTAGGGTCAGTTTGGCATGTCTTCTTATCATGCTGGATAGAGATTTGGCATGAGTTTTACGACCGGCAACCGTCGTGACGTCCACACTTCTCCAGGATAGGACAAGGACCTTTATTGTATTTTTTTTTTTTNAGGTCTTTATGGATGGGATGAACTTTCTTCTTTTTTTTCTTGCCTTTATCCCACATATGTAGGGTCAGTTTGGCATGTCTTCTTATCATGCTGGATAGAGATTTGGCATGAGTTTTACGACCGGCAACCGTCGTGACGTCCACACTTCTCCAGGATAGGACAAGGACCTTTATTGTATTTTTTTTTTTTTATTGCTTGGATGAGTGGACCAGCTGACAGCCCACCTGGTGTTAAGTGGTTACTGAAGCCCATAGACATCCACAACGTAAATGCGCCACCCACCTTGAGATATAAGTTCTAAGGTCTCAAGTAAGTTACAACGGCTGCCCTACCCTTCAAACCGAAACGCATTACTGCTTCATGACAGAAATAGGCAGGGTAGTGGTACCCACCCGCGCGGACTCACAAGAGGTCCTACCACCAGTAATTACGCAAATTATAATTTTTGCGGGTTTTGATTTTTATTACACGATGTTATTTCTTCACCGTGGAAATCAATCGTGAACATTTGTTGAGTACGTATTTCATTAGAAAAATTGGTACCCGCCTGAGATTCGAACACCGGGTGCATCGCTCAACACGAATGCACCGGACGTCTTATCCCTTAGGCCACGACGACTTGTATGAAACAATTCGACCTTGACTTTGATTATGACCTCGGGTATCATAATTCATGGTGTGATACAGTACAGATGAAAACTATCAAATAAACATAAATGTTGCTGAAAATATGTAGAGCATCGTGCGAGCTCGCACGGTTAGTAGGTACCCTTACCCTGTCTTTTTTAGCCGTGAAGTAGTAATGCATTTCGGTTTGAAGGATGGGGTAACCGTTGTACTATGGAATTGAGACTAACAGAGTCTCAAGGTGGGTGGGCGACATTAACGTTGTTTACTTCTGGGGTATGAGGGGTACGTACACCTCAAAAAAATAAAAAATAAATTGTCTATTTTCAAACAATACCTCAAACGTTAATTGGCTGAAACAACGAAAAAATTTACTTGGATTCTAATTTGTTGGTATTTTTTGTGCAATATATTTTTTCTATAATACATTTTATTAGTATTTTTATCTCTGGTAAATATATAATATATTATCTATTATATAAATATGTTAATTAATATGTATACATGAGAATATGGATATATAAATTGCGTATTATGATAATATAATATGTACGGCGTTGTATGTTATGTGTATACATGTATACTGTATCCATATAGCAAAGCAATCATATACTTGAGACCTTGGAACTTATATCACGTTGTAGATGTCTATGGGCTCCAGTAACCACTTAGCACCAGGTCGGCTGCGAGCTCGTCCACCCATCTAAGCAATAAAAAAAAAAGCATCTGCCACAGCACCGTGTAAACCACCCATGGTATATAATAATGCTTTAGGCGTTAGGTCAGTCACTTTACCTCTGTGCATAAAGTTAAATAAACTAAATAAATAAAAACACGGTGGAAACCTTACTAAAAGACTTTGAACCACGTTCATGCTACCAGAGAGGAAGCAGACTTGTTTTGAATCATGCAAAGAACTTAATCAGAAATAAGTAGGTGGTGCTTGGATTCCGATTTCTCTACTCGCAAAGTCAAAGGCGATTAATGCTGGAATTGCAGCGCGCCACGTGACATTTGTGCATACAGAATATAGTATCATGAACTGTCATGTCAATTATGATGCCAATAATAGTTACGGCAAACAGTGCTGTATGCAATTGTTTACTTGTAGATACCGAAGGACACCAGATTAGACGATTAAAGAACATACGATATCCACTCATCATACCAGATAATGCAATCCGATAAGACGTGATATGATGCTTGTATGCTTGTATATTGAGATCACAAAAAGGCAATTCAATGAAATGGGAATAAATTATCTTTGAATTTGTATTTCCAGTTGATTATTCCACATTCCACACTGTGATGTCTATGGGTCCCGCTTACTATCGAGTACGATGTGAACTTATTTATCCTGCACTGAAAAAAAAATTATTACATTCTTTGACATTCTGTGGCTTTCCACTCTTTGCAAAATTAAAACTACTAAATTCTGTTACCAGATTTCTTTTTCAAGTTGACTTTCTAAGAATTAATCTAAATCAAAAGATCAATCATCACTAAAGCCGCAACATTCCAGAATTCTTCGAAATTAAAATTTGGCAACATCGTTTTCGTCTCCCGCTCCAATCGCGACGTGCGACCGAGAGCAAAGTAGTGGCAACGAACCAGTCAGCTTCACGTGCGCGGACGTGTAGCTCGCGTTTCACATCGCGAGATCGTGTTATTCACGCGCCATTTGACAGTCGTGCTGTGTTCCTCGCGGTGAGTGTTTACTGCAAAACATCACAGTGCCGCGTTGTGGTTCTCTCTGATAACGTAAACACGACAAATAATTTAATAAATAGTGATAACTAGCCGGCGGGATGCGAGAGGTGAACGCTCGTCACAGCGGCGCCGACTCTCACCGCCAGCTATTGTCTAAGTGCCACGGAATCTTGGTCCTTCCCATCGGATTCCATTGATGAAGCATCCGCTTTTCGACGTGGGCTGCACATAAAATTGCACGGATTTGTCACGACGATAGCTAACGTGCCCGATGGAGACAGATAAGATAAACTTCGCGTTTCAATGTTTACCAACGTTACTTTCAAATTCCATATTTACTTAAGAACTCAATAGTTTTGCTATGTAAATTACAAACTCGTATGGTATGCGTTTGCTTGATTAATTGTGGATGTTAACTGTAAATAGCCGACATTGCAGTCTAGCATCCACACGCGTTGACTGTCCTACTTTATTATGATTTTTTTTATAAATATTTGCAGTCGTATTTGTAAATATTAAAAACATGCTTAGGACAATGTTATGGAAATGAGTTAAGAACGCGTGCCGTCACTCTTAACAACAAAAAGAACCGTTATCTCTTGATTAATTTCGACAACATTTTCACTTTTTTTTTTATTTGTACTCGATTTTAAAGCATTCACTTTATTATCAATGGTTTTAAAATCGGTTAAATACCATTTGCCAAGCTTGCCAAAACTTAACAAGTCAAGAGTTCCGACAATTATCACATTCGAACAAAACGTTCAAGTTGTTCGTGACACTACTGATTGTATTTATATCTCTCACCCAACGGGGTTATCAGTAAATATTTGAAGAATAAACCGTTTCTTTTACCTATTTTTTTTATCTGGTTTGGACAAATTATAAGATGTATATTATAAAAGAAAAACCATATTTCCACAAATTAAGTATGTTCAATAAAAGATGGTGAGATAAATATTCAAGTATTTCCTTATAATCAGTTTAATAATAAAAAAAAATAGCGCAGTAATTACGATCATAAACTGATTTTAAACATACATTTTCTATGATTTATTGTTTACAAAGAAAAGGTCAGTGAGCATTACTATCAGGAAAGTAGGTTGAAGTACGTTGATAGAACGCAGTGATTAATGATTTCCTTGTGATTCGATAATAAAGAGCGATACAAAGATAGCCCTGTCGGGATCTGTAGCTTTGTCCTTCTTATATTATATACTTGACCCAGTTATTACGAAAGTGCTGGCAAGGTTCGTTTCTTCAAGTTTTAATTCACTGAAAACCTATTTCCGTCTGATTGGTAATTTACTTCGAACGAACGTTTTATTGTTAGTCGTTACACAAAAACCGCACCCATTGAATTCGAAATTGGAGAGAAATTCGAATCCCCGGTGACAATTCAGTAAATTATTCCATGTTAGAAGACGTAGTTGGACAATGTCGCAATATTAATTAAACGGCATTATTAAGAAAGCAAATTTATAATGCATTGTTTTTTCTGATAACATTTACTAAAAATACCTTTTGCAATTCCAAATCTAAATTAAACGCGAGACTTAATAAGAAATAATTGTTATAACTTTTTTGTTGAAAATTTAACATTAATTAACTCGAAGTGCTACGCTCGAAAAGCCGAATCAGGAAATATGTAGTGCAAAAATTTAATTAGGACTTTTCGCACGGTCCATTTTCCTTAATTTGGACACATTCGGTTCGAATGTTTTTTTTTTTTTTTTTAATATTGATAATAATAATTTTTTTATTGCCTTTATAGGCAGACGTGCATACGCCCACCTGATGGTAAGTGGTTACCGTCGCTTGTGGACGTCGGCAATGGCAGGGACAGAGACAAGCCAACAATATTAATAATTAAAACAGGGAACAAGTCCCTCAATGTCATCCGACTCCAAATTAGGATCCCTTGTGTTGTGGGTGTCAGGGCCTGATATTCATACTTATATACGTTAAAATAGACACATATATAGATAATAAATACCCAGACAGGGAGAAAATAAATCTGTTAATCAGACAAATGTTTGTCCGATTTGGGAATCGAAGCCTCGGCAAAAGACTCAGGAGTGCTAACTACTGGACCGCCCTGTCAGTCAGTTATTACAATAACCAAGCAAACAATTTATTTAAACTTTAGGCATACATATCAAAGATTGACATGAAATAGAAGAGATCTAAATAGTTACAGTCGGAGTGTTTTTTTTTTTAAATATACTATCAGACTTTTTAGGACCGAAGTCGACCTAAACTGTTTTGTGTATGTGCAATGTTGATAAGTACTAGCTGGTGAGTGTGACCGTGCGATGGCGCGCGGTGTTCTCGTACTCTCGATCCTGGTGTCGGTTCTGTCGCACATTGAAACAACACTAGGGCATTACACGCCAACATGGGCCGTCCATATACCGGAAGGAAGAGAAGTTGCCGATGCCGTCGCCAGGGACCACGGCTTCGTCAATCTTGGAAAGGTAAGGAGATTTTTTTTTATTGCATACTAGCTGACCCGGCAGACTTCGTAGTGCATCAATCGATAAATAAAAGACCAACGGGGGACACATCAAAGGAAAAACAAAATTGTTATTTTTATTTAATTCCGAGCATTTTCATATTTATCTAAACCTTTTAAACCTTCTCTGGACTTCCACAAATAATTCAAGACCAAAATTAGCCAAATCGGTCCAGTCGTTCTCGAGTTTTAGCGAGACTAACGAACAGCAATTCATTTTTATATATAGAGATAGAAGAAGATTGTGGGGACGAACTCACGGCCCATCTGATGTTAACCGAAACTCATTACTGCTTCACGGCAGAAATAGGCAGGGTGGTGGTACCTATCCGTGCGGAATCACAAGACCACAGTAATAACATAAAGTATTATTTTGGGGGTTTTATTATACGATGTTATTCCTTCACTGTGGAAGTAAATTGTGAACATTTGTTAAGTACACATTTCATTAGAAAAATTTGTAGCCGCCTGCGGGATTTGAACAGCGTTGCATCGCTAGATACAAATGCAACAGACGTCTTATCCTTTAGGCCACGACGACTACTGATAATATTGCACCGGATAATATTTATTTATTAAGGAATAAATAATGTTATTTGAGACGTAAGTCACAGATGCACTAATGAGGCAATATATATTAGACCACTGAGTTTCTCGCCGGATCATTTCAGTGGATCGTGATTCCGATCCGGCGGTGGTAGATTCTGCGAAACACTGCTCTTGCTAGGACTAGTGTTAGCAATTTCTCTCAGGTTGAGCCTGTGAGCTCACCTACCCGTCAGCGCGGAGTAGTCTGGAATAGCCTCTTAGGCATCAAGATATTACGAATCTCGAATCTCGATGCAACCAGTGAATAGGTAGGGACAAAAAAAAGTTGTCTACAAATTGATTATCAAAACTGAACGTTCGTTTCTGTCGCGACTCAAGGCTCACCTTGACATCCGATCTGGTTTTGGAAATCAATAGATCAGACTTTACCGAACATCTTGTAGCCTTGTATCAAAAGCTTCGACATCAAAGAACAAAGTACATATTTTCATGAATAATAATATCGAGTATCGAACACGAGTGTCTGAATACAATTTCCTTTTCTAATTAACGGCGCAAATGAATAGATGTAAATTTCGTTGACTAGACCGGTCATTTATAATAATGATAGCTTAGCTATTGCCAGGTCAATAGGTAACCTTGAATGGTTCGTTACGTATTCGTAACTGCTTTCCGCCATTGTACAAAACAATTAGGAGTTCCACAAAATGAATCAATGAACAATTTTTGACATTGACCGCTTAAGGTTGACCTCAAAGGAAAGTAAAACAAGGTAGAATGGCCTTAAAATTCACAGCGGTGTTTTCGAATTTGTAATTCAAATTAATCTTATCCTGTTCTAATGAAACGGCTTAAGAAAAAGTTATAATAAAAAAATAAAAAACAGCGAAAATTTCATTTTAACTAACATGAATGATGATGAATTAAAAAGAAAGATATTACAACATTTCATTGTGAATCTATACCATTCTCGAACTCACTGGAACGCACACAAAAAAAGTAATTAGTTCACTAACATATGTACACGCGGACAGAATAATTATACATATGTATACTGAGATCTTAGAACTTATATTTCAAGGTGGGTGGCGCATTTACGTTGTCCATAGGCTCCAGTAACCACTTAACACCAGGTGGGCTGTGAGCTCGTCCACCCATCTAAGCCATAAAAAATGTTTTATTAAGATTTAGTTTAACAATTGCCATATTCAAGATATCGAGATCGTTTTGCAAGTGAATCGTGTTGCTTGTATTGTACTGTGATAAAATTAGTGCGTTATTTCTAGAAAACTCTTGAAAACTGTGCAAGACCAACCATTTTGACGACCGCATTCCATTGAATAGCATCGTTTACATATTTACACAACTCATGCGCTTCCAATGTGAAAATAAACACAGACAACATGTAAATAATTAATCGCATGCCTTTTATGTATTCAACATTCATTCAGCAGTATCAGTACTACTCTTCCTCGCATAGTCTTCCTCATTACCGACGGTCGTGGTTCCACCGATGTGAGATCAATTAATTTCTCGTCTATGATACTCCTCCATCAGTGTTGGTCCTTTGGAGGGCGTAATGTAGCTTGTTTTTTTGAGTTAAGCGAATTTAGTCGAACCATCTAATTGAGACAACCTCTCTGCATTCTTTCGTGGATCTTTGAATTAGTTTTCGAGTTTTGTATGTCTTAACGGGCAATATGAAGAAAAAAGTGAAGATAGTGAAGAGTCTTTCTTTTACATAGACTTGTCTTAGAATAATAATATTTTAAGGTAATCCCAAAACATAATTAATTAAAAAAAAAAAATGAACAACAAAATAATGACACTTACAATTTAAGTCGCACAACAGGACCGTCTCAAGAAAAAAGAAAAAAATAATAATAATACATTTGTCCGAAATATGTTGAAGCATATTTCGCCAGCACAAAATCACGACTGTTCCTACTAATTAAACAACAAAAACACTAAAACCTTATTAATCCCACATTAAAAATGTTGTAGGTTTAATTAAAAAAAAAGTGTTCTTTTTAAAAAAAAATATACCTTTAAATGTCTTCGAACCGAACGAATTAACATTTGGAAGCGCTCATAATGTCACCATGCGAAGTGGGGGAACGAAAATAAACAGGAAATTTAAGTGAGCGGTTATTTATTTTAAGTGACAACGGGATCTTGTCCGTTTCAGCCAGCCTTTCTAATTTTAGGCCGATGAAATTTCTCCGTTATAACGTCTCAATATAGAGATGAAAACGGTTTTAAAACATACGCAGGATTCGTTTTTGTAACGAACTGGTTAATGAATGAATATTTTATGAATTCGACATATTTCTCAAACATATAAATCCGTCAGCGTAGAATGGAGAGAGCGCTGACTACCTTGTTTTATCTTTTGGACTCTGCCTCCTCACCTTCTTACTTAAAATCGCATTTTAGATACTTGAACGCAAGCCATGAGAAAAGTCTACGTTCTTCACATAATCGTCTCTTACAATGTCCTATCCATCGCTCAGATTTTTTACATTCTTCTTTCTTTGTACAGTCCATAATATTATGGAATTCGCTTCCCAAAGAAATCAGGATGACCAGCAATCGCTTTACTTTTAAACTCAAAGTTCGCGAATACAACCACAAAAAACTGGAAGAATCATCTCCAAACTAATTTATTAAATTTTTAAATTTTTTTTTTTTTACTTTTAGCCATTCTTAACTATAATACTAAATTGTGTATTTACATATTATTACTTTACATGTATATTATATTGTAGTATGTTTATTTATGCATACAAAGTCATATGTAATCTATATAAGTACCTATATTTAACATTATGTGTATTCTATAATACTGAGATGTTATTTTAAGGAAGATTTTTGTTTTGATTTTGTTATTGTTTTGTTTTTTGTTGTTGTTTGTTATTCTTTTGTTAATGTACCTACCATGCATTATCTCTGCACCACCCTATGGTCGACTGGAAGAGAATGCCCATGGCATTAAGTCCGCCTGTGTACAAGTTTTGTTTTGTGCATAAAGTATAAATAAATAAATAAATAAAAATAAATAAATCGCTCTTCCTTCATATACAAACTCTTTTAAATAACATTTTCGCGTATTATACGCGTTTACTTCAATTGTCTAGTGCTCGCGATAGAGGCAAAAGGTTTCTGGATACGGCCGTGAGACTATTATGATAGAAATACAACGTGAGCACCGAACAGGAGGGCGGAGAATAGGCGCTTTGATGCTATAGAGGCCCATGTACAAAAGCTGTCATTCAATATAAACTCGATAACAAAATGTCGTGGCCAGACCCAAGCCACGTCAGACACATTCGCCAGTAAATATGACACAAACATTCCCTTCAAACTTGATTATAGGAAGAATTACGTGAAGGTCTTGTACGTAGTAGCTTGCCTTGCTCGAGTGATCAAGCGCGCACACATATAACTAATAACATATACTTGAGTTCGTCATCTAAAAAGTATACACTAACACTTTGGGGATTTAAATCACGACATCAGAAATATAAGAGTCGGATTTAATAATTTTAAAAATATATTAATACGTGAAGCAAAAACTTTGTATCCCTTTTTACGAAAATTGCGCGGACGGAGGAGTATGAAATTTTTCACACATAGAGAATATAGAGAAGAAGTGCACAATACTAATTTTTTTTAAATAATGCATAAAATATACATTAAATCAATAAAGAAAACATCACGCACACTACCATATATTTGACACAATACATACATAAAAATATGCTCTTTGTTTACTGTCAATTGGGAAACTTTTGTTATTGTTTAAAGTCTGTGGTCGAATTGAAAAAAGATTAATATTGTTTGTCATTAATATTATTGATCTATAGTGCAGTTTTGGCGAATACTGTGATTATATTATCGAAATATAATAGTGTTTGACAATAGAACCATAAGTAATAATATATAAACTTATAATTTCAATTAATTATACTCGAATCTCGACTATTGCGGGACCACTAGTAATTTTAAATATACGTTTATACGGATTCAAATATAGTTTTATAAAGGAATTTCCGTAACGCAGCTTATTAGTGGTTTGACTGATATAAATCGTCACGTAACGAAAATTTTGTCGTGCTCTCTTAATGAGGCTCTCTCTCTCTCTCTCTCTTTCTATTATATAGGAAGGGAAATTCCAGCATTGTGCAACGTTAATTTTATAAATTAAATAAATTAAATTTTTTTTATATAAATAACACTATTTTAAATTGTTATTTAATTTAATGAGTATTCCACTGTAAATAAAGGATTAAATGTATTGATAATAAGTACTCTTGTTCCAATGAAGGAATCTCCCGACGGCACACGTTTTTAATACGCTTTTATTAACTTCAGACGTATGTATGTTTGTAATGGAATCTTTGAACATGATTT